GGGGGGGGGGGGGGGGATGCCGCGGGGCCGAAAAACCAAAAACCCGGGGGGGAAACAGTGTACAAGTTTGCTGTTTGTGATCGCTGTCGTTGTCGCTACCCACTTTCCACAGCCGTAGCCTTCAACTGCCGTAATTGAAAATGGCATCATGCCGACGGCCCGAAAACCAAAACGCCAGAACAATCGCACTAAACACATAACAGAGCCGGAGGGCGTCCATTCTAGCATGCCAGCTGCGTAGCAAGCAATGACGCGGCGGCGACGCTTTTTCCGGAACCGGCTCATTACACGTGCACGCGCTCAAGACTCGACGCTGCACCATGTGCTGTTTGGCCACCGCGAAGCTCGTTATCATCTCTTGCCAGCCTCGTGCACGATGCTTCGATCAACCTGTTGTTGAAGTCAGGCGAGGGAGAAATGTAGGAGGGGGCGGGGGGGCGTGGGGGTCATGCGTTGCCCACGTTTGTTACCAAGGGGCCCGGAAACCGTTGAACACCCCGACTCTCCCATAACGCCAGAAAATCTATCAAACGTTTGTGCTACTTCGCACAACCCACCGACCAGCTCGTGACCACGGAAAATTGTCAAGGGAACTGCTGTTGCAGGAATATCCCGGAGCGCTCAACTCCGGCGAAAGGAGCCATCACTCGCGCCCCTTTGCTACGGGGCATAAAGCGGCCCTCATTGCCAAAACGGCCCTGGACCTGGACAGTACATCATACGACGAGAACTTCCGCAAATCAAGAAAACGCTTCACACCTTTTGAACAAGGTGGCGCCGCTTTCTGAACTCCTCATCCCATGGTGCAGGAGTTTCCCATCGCTGGGTGCTGTTAGGCGGGGTTGCGGAACGTGTTTTTTCGTTTCTTGAGGAGACCGTCGTGATGAGGTTTCACGCAAATGGGAGGTCCCAACGAAAAAAGCGGCGTTGGCAAACAGAGAGTTATTGTTCCCTTTTTGGCACCGCAACACTTTGTCTAGTGCTTCTTAGTCACGAGGGACTCCGGGTTAGGGCCGAACAAGCTAGTTTTACAGACAAGAGAGGACGCTGGATATCCGCCTTCTGTGCCCCAACCGCCACCAAGAGCACTTCACCGAGAGAGAGAAAGAGAGGGCGAGTTTCACAAGACGTACACCGCGAGTCCGTCTTGTCCCTCCAAAACGCGGCTAAACGAACAGCCTTTGCGGCTACTCGCAAACGCCAAGCGACAACCTCGGCCTAAAAACTAAACGTACCATGCCGTCGTAGTAATTTAGGCGGGGTCTTTGTCGAGAGGGTACCGACGGGGTGTCGATGAAGAAGGTTGTGGCACAGCAATTGCAGCGAAGGCGCATGCCGCTTTCCATCCTCCCCCCCCCTGCCCACACCCTGGCACTCTCTGTCAACTTCTCCAAGTTGTATTTTTTCGGGGAGGGAGGGTTTCGACTTGTAGTTCCTCTTCTCTACGGTACAGTAGTAACCTTGGGTTGAGCCAGGCATCGACCTTGACGGAGCTGCCGGGCACTTCAGACTCGTGATCGCCGAAAATCATGTAGCCCTGCCATGCGACCGGTTGTGCGTAGGAAACGACGCAACGGGTGGAGGAAGGTATCGGCACAGCAAGCCCACGTCCCATCACAGGTGTAGATTCGAATTGGCGTCCGCCGAAAGTGTGAATTGGACTGACCTCCGTCGAATGACATCTAGGTTTATCCGGTTACCGGAAAAGTAAGGTTGAACTTTCAACTGTTGGCACCAGCTGCTATCCGTAATTTCTGCTTGTTGCAGCCCCTGCGACCATAGCTGCGTCGTGGACGGCTCTGTGTACACACTCTTTCGAAGGGCACGAGCATCACAGGGTGGAACCATCCAGGCGAAGCCACGTTAAGCCGGCAACACCAGCAATCTCGGGCTGTGTTTCTAGATTTTCCTAACATGGCTTCAGCAGAAGCTATTATCCCACCGGGACTTGCAGACTAGCGTCCCTTCTTCTTCTAGACGCAGTCGTGACCTGAAAATATAATTCAAACCTAGTACCTTCTCAACAGAGATGGAGATCAACATCATCGTTGTTTCTAAGCTTTAGGGAAGCCAGATATGGCGACAAATCTCCAAGTACATCAAGGGCTGCGATGAAGCCGTAAACGTAGTGGTCAGACAACATCCGGGTTTAATGCGTCGAGTGTGCACATGTCTGTCGAAGACATGCATTCAACCACAGAAATACTACGCGTTCGACATGTTGCCCCAGGACATGTTCTGCATCATGTAAACAATCGTCTAAACAAAGCACTGTTTTGACAGCTTGGTTACTGGCAAGTGTTGCCGGGCACAGCCGTGATTGATCGACAGCAACTCGAAAAAGAGTTGCCTAGGCAGCTGATAAAAAACGATGCATGTCTCTCTCGTGCAACAGAAGACTCACCACACAAGCTAGAGGAATGCCGACCATGAGCACTCGAGGGTGTGTAGCGAACTCGAAAGCCCGCAAAATTGGTGGCATTCGGGTGTGCCCCCGTGCTACAGAAAAACGACACGCGTTCGTGAGGTGTGGAGAGCAGCGGGCACGCGCACGACAGCCGTAGTCAGCGCCTGGGAGGGTTCTCCCCTAGGCCAAAGAGCAGCGCGTCGCCAGCAGTACCAGGGTGCGGAGGGGGAGCAACACGCCACCATTGATGAACACGACACACGCTTTCGAGTTTCTTTGGGAGTTACCTCCGCATGCACAGATGCGTACGGTATATTTTACACAACACGTCGGAGCGTAACGGCTCGAACACTAGAATGCCGCAATCAGAGAGAGAGGCCTTGAATGCGCCGGCGGCCCACATTTCCACCCGGCGCCGTCCGGGCCCCTCACATAAGGTACAACATAAACTACGGGTGTGCTGAATCCCTCGTGCGTACGGTGTCAAGCCTACACATACCGCCAGCAAAACGTAGCCATGCCGTGCTGGTATCTTACGTGGGGCGTATGATCTTCGACCCCCATTGCGGTGAGCCCCTTCCGGGCCCCCCCCTTGTCGCTGCCTGTACTCTGTCCGATGTCGAAATGCGGGGTCTGCCATTCTCTCGTCGTATAGCGCACGCTTGGATTTGTCCCCCATCACCTGTGTCGACCGTTTCGGGACATAAAGCAAAGCACAGCACGCTGTTTTTCACAACCGCAGGTGCAGGACAGACGTTGAAGGAGAGATGTACCCGATGAATCGCTTCCGCCGCCGGCCGAATCTTGTCGTACGTTTCAACCCGGCGCCACGAACTAAACACACCTGTGGTGTTGTGGTGTTTAGCCGAAACGGTACGATTCTCACCTCCCACGCCGACGCAATCGCCTTGAATTGTTCTTCGCTCTGGGCGCCCTTGCTGACGTCTGGGTGGTGCTTCTTGACCAGCCGCAAGTAGGCCTCTCGGATGGTTCCGTGGGTGGCATTTCGATCGACGCCTAGGACCCGATAGTGGTCTTGTGCGAAAAGGTCGGACTTCATCCTTTGCCCTGGGCAGCCAAACGACCAGTTAAGTTGAGCTGCTTCATCGAATCACAAAAAGGTCTCGGGCGTCCCTCGGGCACCGTACCTTCAAAGCTGCCGGGGGGGAATGACAATGTTGTCACCTTTTCTTCTTTGGTCAATCTGATCCGGAGAACTGGCCCACAACTTTTTCCGAAAAACGTGTAAGCTAGGGTTAATCAGATTGTATGCCTCGCCGACCGTTGAGTGCTTTCGACATTTTCTCGAGATCGGTAGAGCACATTCCTTCATCCACGTCAAAGTCGGACTTTGTGTACTCATGAACAAAGGTTGCACTAAAAGTTGGCACAGTAGTGATTTGAACTCCAGGACTTGACTACCCAAGGTTTTTGTAGACACCTGTAGACCTGTACACCAGGGGGCAAACCTCTGCCTCTTCGTAAATTGGGGGCAGGTGGTGTGCCGTGGTTAGTAAAACCAAGAACAAACAAGCATACCAGAACGAAACGCACGCATCGATACTTGCGCAAACAAGGAAACTAATGATTTATTGTCCGAGTATACTTCGGTGTAGGTTTGCATGGACTATGCTACAAAGAAATGGTTACAGCCGTATCTGTTTGTGACCCGCGGCACAACCAGTGATCATCCCCTGACCAACGTGGTGGCGCAAACAATCTTTCGAGCCCTTTGCATACAAGAGGCGCGTGCTTGCAGGCGTGATAATCATTATTAATCTTGTTGAGGAGAATACTTCATTCGAAATACATTAAGCCTCACGCTGCTGGTAGCTGTTACATGTGAAGACCTCTTGCTCTGTGCAGAGCACGCTGCAGACGTGTGACTCAGTCACTCTGGAAACAGTTCGCACCAACATATCAAGGACAACAAAAGGCAACCATGGACATCATGCAGCCTAGAAGGACTCAAAAGGAATTCTCCAGGATATCCTAGGAAACAGCGCAGAGAGTATTCTGCCGGGGGAAATACTTCTCATCTTCCTATGTGTTGTTGCGTCCTTCCAGCAGCACTTTCACCCTTGCAGCACCGCGGTAAAAATGCGGGGCAATATTCCAGCTCCGTTTCTTCGCCGTCGCATAGTCCGTACAAATCAGAAACTTGGGCTATGTCTGCCAAATACACTTCATATGTCCCCTCCCACCTTGATCGAGGCAGCAGCCGAGCAAGTAGCGTCCACAAGGGCACCGTGACGTGTTGCACCGGTGAAAAACGCAGTTCGAGGTCCACACGGTTTTTTTTGCAGTGGAGGCCTCAACGGGACTGTTGCCATACATTCCGCCGCGTGTGTTTCGCCGCGTTTTCGCGTTTTCGCTAGTTCGCGTTTTCGGGTTGCAACGCCGCGGCGTCATCACACGTCACATCTCTCATCTCTCACCCTATTCCCTATCCCCCCTCCCTGCTCTACTCCGAGAGACCTCCCCTCACCGCTCTCCCTAGCTGAGCAGTCGTACAGACGGAAGACTGTCGCTCCGGTGCTGGGTATCGAAAGAGCATGTTCGTGTGGATCAGATTTGGCGAAGGTAAAAATATACTATATGCATAGTCTAGTCTACCGATCGAATTTGGTCCAAGAAGATATGGTATGTACTGCTGTACTGCTGTAAGTCCACATGCATGGTGTTTGATCATCATGTACCACAAGATCTTCTCACGTTGCACCCTCCTACACCCATCCATGTTTTACCGCTTGCAGTGGAGAGTCCAGAGAAGCGTTGTTTCTGTATCGACGTAACTTGCGACAACCTTCTGGACGCTGTCAAGCAAACAGTGGAGCAGGAGACGGTCGGGGCGATGAAAAGACGAGAGGTCGAACTCGTGCTCAAACTTCGGGAAGCTGTGCTCGAGGAGCAGCAGCTGGCGGCCAAAGCTGCGAGATTCGATTGTGAGTGATGGCGATGTGCTACAGAGTAGCGTTTCTTTCACGAACAAACAATTGTACGGGTGTGTTGCAGGTGTTGGATGTACTCAGAGCAGCGACAGATCAGTAGACTAAGTGATGAGCGAGGAGTTTTGGGGGTTCAACAGTTGCTACGAATTAGATTTGGCGGCACCAACTTTGCCGCATGTTACTTGATTGGGGGCGTGGGCGTCTACAGCGCAGAAATGTCGTTTGTGGTGAGTGGGTTCTCACTTTCCGTGTGTGGAATCAAAGTCGTTTCCCCGGCTATCACGCCACCCGGCTTCCACGCCACTCGGCGTCCACGCCTCCAGGACTTCCACGTCCTTGTTGTAAGCCTTTATACCACGGCTTCCACCCCATCGAGCTTCACCCCACCTCCAGAGATATCACACCCTTCCGAGTCATCACGCTCTAGCACAAAGTAGGAACAGGATTGCACGCCTGAGGATGGTTTCTGTATATTACCGTTGAGCGCCGCGGCCTTCACGCTAGCTACTGGCTCTTTTATTTCCCACATCGGGACCCCGCGCCGAGGCACGAAGCTATTTCGTATTTACCAGCGGGTTAGTCCTCTAAGAGTTACATAGCTGCTCATTCTCGCAAACGTGGCGAGAATGCGAACAGCCAGTACACCCGGATCATCTGTTGTACGTACCATGTAGAGATGAAGGCCAATCTATTTTTCTACTCAGTCAGCGCTGACTGAAAGGTCTAATCGTCCACATGATCTATCTATTTAAGGCTATTCCATTAGTCTAAAATGATAGTCTTTTACCTAACACATGACACCACACTGCAAGTAGAGGGAATCGCAAGTCATGCAAGAGTTGCTGGCATAGCTCAACCTCCCAATGAACGTTGCGTTTCCTTGATACCACGCACCATTATCTTACAACTGGTCCCACCACTTCTCTGAAAATGTACAGCTCTGCGGCAACCGACGCCACCAGACATATCGTCGGCTCTCGAATTGGCACGGTTCCAGAAAACATCAACGGAGGGGAAATTAACTGCCCTACAGGCCAGTCTGGTGAACTTCAAAGGTGATACCGTTGTCTGTATGGGTGCTGCAGAGGGCATCTCTACTCTCGCATTGCAGGTTTGTCTATGTTCCGGAACACACAGCAGTGAATACGGTGATGGGCAACTCAACATGGTCATCAGGATCAGTTGGCGTTCATCCGTCCAATCAACTGGAACACATTCCCGCATCGTTCATTTTCATTCCAACAAGCACCACATTTTTTCGCTCAGGTCGCACAAGACACGACCCGCCACTGTATGCCTTGGAAGTATTCTACGTGGGTAGTTCACCTGCTGTGTGATGTCAACTGCGTGTACTGTCAAAACATGTCCGTCAGCTTGGGCAGTGTCGGGGGTGCAAAACATTTAACATTTATCTGTTCGGTTCGCTTTCAGCCACACTACTATCCTATTCTTCTCTACCGCTCTGAAAACTGCAGACAAAATGCTGCCGCTCGTTAACGGTACTCGCAGGCCTCGGGCACATTACGGTCGACCTCATGGATCCATCCACAGCTGCGCTGCAGAAACTCGCGTCACATCCTAGGAAAAAGGCCGTGGGACTTTTGCGAGCAGGAAATACATACGAGGCCGCCCGACTAGGTGAGAACCTCTCGTTCACTTAAACAAGAGGCGTTGTCGCTGTTCCAGCGGCAACGCTGAGTTCTTGACTTGATGCTACCTTCAAGGTTCGCATTCTCGAGGAGGAGAGGCTATGTGAATGTCTGCGATGAAACGCGTCAATCGCTGTGGCGGGCTGTTCGTCGCAACTTGTTGCTACGACAGGCGTACAGTGACGTAAATATCGCCGCGAACTTGACTCTAAGCTTCGTATACCCCAGCCGTTGTGACCAAAGCCCGTTCTAGTAGCACTCTCCAACAAGGAAAGTTGTCGTGGTAACTGTGCACTCCTCCACATCGTGCTTCTGCCGGTTTGCCGTCTCCGTTGTTGCTGTTGATGCTGTGCGCGGACGTTTCCCGATTTTCCCCCTGAAAATGAATGACTCTCCAGATAAGAACTCCACTGGAGGTTTCACATCTACACCGCTCGTGTTTTCGCTGTCTTCGCCGGTGACATCGCACCCGGCACCAGCATGAGCAAATAAACACTGGGTCGATATCTTCACGCAACACACAAGGTACCACCGTGTTTGGTGACGGATGAGTCGCGACCTCATGGATGGATGCTTTCTTTCGGACATCAACGCTTTGAAGACTGGCGACAACAGGAGATGGGATGAGGTAGAATGAAATAGGCTAAATCGGCTACTGCAGTGCGTAAAGATTGGCCAACCGTGGCACAGCTTGCCGCAACACTGCGAAGTAGCGCTAGCACTGTGTGCCAAAGGGTTTCAGGGCGCAAGGTCCAACTACCGCGGCGGTACCTTGCTGAAGCTGGTGCTGAAAGTACCCCCATCGTCGTGCGCAAATCGAAGCCTTTGTTTCATGTCGAATCTGGCGTGTTCGGGTCCACGGCGCGGTGTTCACCAGATGCAGATCAGAAGAGATCTCAATGATACTTTTCGCAGAAGCGTGTCGTGACTTTGAAGCGCCGTGTTTCTCCGTCAATTTTGGGCATGAACTAAGCGACTCAACAACTCCGCCAAAAACCTCAAGCAGCATACGCACTCACCAACGCCGCCAACACACGTACATGGTGAGAGAAAAATAAAACGTGAGAAGGGCTTAGGCTGCGCATGTCGTTGGATCGAAGCCGAAATAAGGCAGGGTTTTTGGTCGGGCGAGAAGGAAGCTATGAAAGTCACGGGAGAAAGTCATGACACTCCGTGTTGGGGTAGACTACACCACAAGGATGAAGCGCTGAGCTCACCGTAGTTTCCAGTTCTGTAAAGCATCGTGACTATCATTCAGGAAAGAGGGTGCGCTGCGGAGGCATGGGGAAAACATGACTCGCTGCACGCGTACCCATCACACATAAGACATTTTTTCCATTTTCACAGCACCAGGGGCTGCGCGTCGGTAGGCGGGCACGCGAAAACCTGGAACTTCTACGGCTTGAAGGGGCTGTGCACGCAAGCAACTAGGCATGTTTCGGTACGCTAAACGCGGTAGGCGGGCACTCAGCTCCTACCGGTAGGCACCACGAGTGTTCCAGGTGTTGGTTGCCGTTTAAACCCAAGGCCACAACGAGACTTTCAACGAAACGACGTCTTCGTTGACGCGCTGACTGGGGTACCGACATGAACCACAATAGACACATGAAGGACGAGAGGTCACGCCAAGCCACAGCAGTGCCAAGCACAAGGTAGACAATTGCGCGAACAAAAAAATACCCTCGATACTTCTTTGTTTTGATTTGTTTGAAACATTGCTGCAGAATTTTTCTCCACAACGATACTCCGCTCACTCTCGCGGGCACAATGAGGTGCGTGGAACGCAACAGCGCACCCATTCACGACGCGAAAAAAAAAGGCGGTACTGCACTAGGTGACTACGGACAGACTACTACACATGCACTTGATGTAACACGGCTGCTGATCTCGTCTCGACACGCGTCCAGCCCTGCCATCGGCATACATACGACGCACTAGATATCGTACCTAAAGATGCTTCTCGACAACGACACACACTGCTAAAAATTGAAGTGTGAAACGACACACATAATCCTCGTCGCAAAAGACTCACGTTCTGCACGCCGTAGTTGCCACAACACACTGCAATCTCAACATAAACATACAAAATGAACCACCCCGTCCGTTCCCAGGTGGTACCAACGGACGATTTACAACCCCTTAGCAACCCTGTCCTGCCGTGATAAATAAATCAGCAGGCTACATACAACCCAGATTTCGTCTCCCCTGACACAGATAAAGTCTCCTCTCCCCCCCGTGCGCTGTTTCGTTTCCTTGTATTGGCAAGCCATTTCTGTTCAATGGCAACGAAATTTACCGGTCCCAAGACTCGTGCACCCTCGGGACCTATTATAGTAAAAAAAAGGAAGGATAGTGTAGAACAGAAAGGAAGTGTTGGGCCCTCTTGAATCTTTGGATGCCGTATTCACGCCACCATCCGATCCACAAAAAGTCAAACCGGGGGATGGGCTCAGATGCCTTCTACATTTCGTGAAAAGTGCCCTCTCGTATCTACTCGGCACCCTACCCAGCCCCAAAAACGATGCGGATACCATTACTTCTGCCCGTGGATTGTTCCAAGCACTCAACAAGTCACAATGTTGAGAGCATCTACGGACGAGGGCATCACAACAAGATAAAAAGGACAAGCACAAGAAGAAACGCTGGCTGTCGATCGCGGGGGCTTCGCTTTCCAATCATGCGGTACGAAACACACACTGTCACCAACCAAAGTTGACTCAATAAACGAAAGCTTCCACACACCAAACTCACCGCCCTGTGTTCGTAAACTGCACCAGCAAAGCAAAGGCCATTTCAGGTTGACGTGGTCACCCCCCCCCCCCCCCCCCCCCCCCCCCCCCCCCCCCCCCCCCCCCCCCCC